TGATACAGGCTGGTGAAAGTCAAGCTCGTCCTGGCAAAAGGTGGACTTTTTGAGGCGCAAGTAGTAGAATTTCAGTGTGATGGCATTGAATATTAGTTACAGGGACGAAGAGGGGAATGAAAACTGAGCGACACCATGTGGAGTGTCTATACATGTGTGGCCAAAAACACCATAGAAACAGCAAAATTAATTCTCTGGCAAAAGTAATATTCCACGCCTCTAGCTTCTCATCCAAATTAGAACACACTTGAACTAAGTCCAATCAAAGAGGCGTGTATTAATCAATTTCTTTGTTTTCTGATCACTTTCTCATCTGATTTCAGATTTAAACTGGATGATCCATTTTCAGAACTGCTTATCTTATAAGCGTGTGCCTTGGATCGAGGTCAGACGCGGACGAAAAGTGGCAATTCCTTGTAAAAATCTTACCGTGGAACTCCAACCACTCCTATAAATAAAATTTTGAAAGGTTCTTGGGATGATTTGTGTCGTGTACCTAATATCAAGTATAATGGGGGCAAATATCCTTTTTAAAAACATTTACATGCCTGTTATCCATATATACGTGAGATTTCACTTGAAATGGTACAAATTACCTGCGTTAATTGAATCAGTGTAGGCAGAAGATGTGTCCCAAAATTTTAGTTGCCATGTCTCTTCAATCTGCAGCCTTTCAATGAATCCATATCTTCTGCCCAAAATAAGTTTGCAACATAGCCCATACTCAAGTCCTAACTACTAAGGGTGTGTTTGAATTAGCGGTGAAAAAATAACTTTTTTTTTTAATCTGACTTTTACAGAAGTCATATTGGATAAAAGTAATTTCTTTGAACTTATTGTATAAGTCCGTTTCAGTGACAGAAATCAAATTGCAAAATTGTGATTCCAAACACATGCCAAATTAAAAAAGCTCATTTTGCCAGTAGAGAAGTCAGTTTGAAGATCCAGACGTGATTCCAAACACACCCTAACTCGTTCAATTCTCAATCAATAAAAATCATTTATTTCCTGTATAATTTTGAAAAAAATTACAATTAAGTCTTAAAAAAATATAATTATCAAAAAATTTTAATAACAACCTAACCATCCTATAATGATGAGTCCTGTAGTAAAAACTGACAATTTCTGATCTGTCACTGAGACTAATAGTTTTTTTTTTAATTGAGATTTCATTTTAATTCTCTCTATAATTTTCAAGATTCTATGCATACATGTATGAAAATTTTATTTTTCTTAACTATATAAAACTATTATTAAATTAAATGCGATTTTTATGATTTTAAACAAATATTATTGTTATCTATCGTTTTAAACCATAAACTGGCCAGTGTCTTTATCGGTGCTTATCAATCTGCCCACTTTTAAGTGGAAACAAATGTATCTAAAGTGGTGTCCGAATTATGCTTGCATAACGAGGGAGGTGTTATCGTACCAGTCGCACTCTTGGCGGTTTTATATATGTTCAACTGTATTTCTGTCCTTGATGAATGTTATGATCACCACTAGACGCAGCCGCCATATCCTGAATAGAATTTGAACCCAGTTTTTTTATTTGTTATTTAATAATTTGGTGAAATCATAATAAATTTGAAGGTTAGTTTTTTCGGAAAAATGACCTGAATACTCTGAAACAAGGTTGTGTTTCGTTGTGTTGAGAGTTAAATTGATGATGTCTTATTTATCTTTTGCATTAACGTCAACATTCATTCAAGTAAATCTCATGTTACTTAAATCCAAGATGGCAAAACATATAATGTTTTTTGAACGTGGTGTGGCTTTTTTTTTTTTTTTAAGGCTAAAGTATTTAATTAGTCATTTAACTTTATATAAAGTGTTGATTTTACCCTTTGATTTTAGTTGGTATATTTTTAGTCTTTTAATCATAAAATTATTAGTCATAAATAATCTTTTTTATAATATTTGAGAATGTTTTATCGACATTTAAGATTTTAATATCATTATATTTTTAATCACAATTTTGAGATTAAAAGTAGAGGTGTTTATAGGACGAGATGACCCCATTCCAGTTCCAGTTCCGTTCCGTTCCAATTAAGACAGAACATAACTGGGACGAAATAGCAATGTTCCATCCCTCTTTTTGGATTTTTTTTTATATTTTCTAATTTGAAAACTAACTACACATAAAGTGTAAAAACTTGTAATAAAAATTATGTGAGGAAAATAGATAAAAACAAGGAAACAAGGACAAAAAATGTTTTTTGTAACCATGAGAGATAAAAAATAAACAAACATAAAATATTCACTATAAAGAATGTCATGTAACCTGTACAAAAAAACTTATAAACGAATAAAAAATAACAACTGATAAATATCATTACCAAAATACTATTACAATGATAAATAAAATAAATATATAACAACTAAAATAAAGATGATATATTGGGAAGGGATTAGGATGGGATACCCACGTTTTGTCCCAAAACAATATTGTCCTGTCTCACCTTCATCCTGTCCTAAAAACTTTTTGGACAAGATTGTCCCATCCCAGAATGCCTGGGATAGGGACAAGATGTTGAGACGGAACAAAGTTAAACACCTTTGATTAAAGGAATGAAAATATAATTTTTAAAAACAAATAACTAAATTTGAAATATCATATAAAATTAGATAATTAAAAATATACTTGAACCTGAAAAAAAAAAATCATAATTTCCCTTTCCACATCTTTACCCTTTGGTTTTATATCTACGTAAAATCATCAATATTAACATCCCGATAAGTTAAATGGTACTCCTCCGGTCATAATTTTATAAATGTGTATAATGGTTTTATATTTAGAATCAAAAGAGTATTAATTATTGCCAATCCAATACAAACATAGTTTGAACACCTTTGATTAAAGGAATGAAAATATAATTTTTAAAAACAAGGAACTAAATTTGAAATATCATATAGAATTAGATAATTAAAATATACTTGAGCCTGAAAAAAAAATCATAATTTCCCTTTCCACATCTTTACCCTTTGGTTTTATATATATGTAAAATCATCAATATTAACATCCCGATAAGTTAAATGGTACTCCTCCGATCATAATTTTATAAGTGTGTATAATGATCTTATATTTAGGATCGGAAGAGTATTAATTATTGCCAATCCAATACAAGCATCCTTAATTTCGATGAGGTGTCTCGTGACTGAGAAAATGAGCCCGCATTCTCACATCTTATTTGGCATATGAAAAAAAAAAAAAAACTTTGTTTGTGGAAAATTAGCAAGATGACCTAGTAAGATGAAGCCCTTTCTTCCGTTCTTATTTTCATACATCCAAATAAGTTACAAAGTTGTCAGCTCGTCTTATTCATGAAATCACGTCTAATGGTTGTGTCAGATAAGCAATATTTAACACTGTTTAACTTACCAACATTAACATTTATAAATTGATTAAATTTCAACGATGACAATTAATAGTTTTATATTTCAGAATCAAAATTAAAATGTGATTACCAAAAATTATATTAAATCTTGTTTTTTATAATTATTATGACTAATTAGTTAATTGGCTAACTTTGAAATGCTTTATTTACATGTATTGCACTCAATATGCAAAATGTAACTGTCTATAATTTATAAATAGTATAACTTTATTTTATTCAAATTTAAAACTGATACATCACATGCACATAGGTTGGTTGGTGTCATGGTTGTATTCCTAGCTTGCCCAACCACCTAATTAACCGTATTGTGGTCTAATTGGGTTTATAGATAATTGATGATTAAGGCATAATCAACGTCATGAGGTAAAGTTTCATCATATATAAAATTGATGCCCAACAATTGCTTTGAAGGGAAAAGGAAGAAAGAAAGGCACATCATATATATATATATATATATATTGGATATACGGGATCCCCATTATACATCCATCACTCACTCTTCCTAATCATTTACAGCCTCTCATTCTTTCCTCATCATAATCTGCAAATATACTTTCACAAACCAATTTGCTAATTTTACAAGCAAATTAAAACATAAAAGCTGCCACCTCATTAGCCCCAAAATCATCATGAATCATTATCGCAGTGCACATAGAAATCAAACCGGAACAAAACTACAAAGTCCCAGGTCACTGTTGAGATACAGTAACTCCGAGGCTTATTTTATTGGTAACAAAAGAGAAGCAATTTTTGCCTCATTAATTAATAATTAGTCTGAACACTGGTTGGTGAAATAATTTGTTGGAATCAAACATGGATTAAATATAATACTGACTGCTGTAGCGGCAGCGAGTGTATTTTGTTTTATTTCTGCTGTTGCATGTAAGGCTCCGTGGGAGATATCGTGCCTGTTTGAGAGAGTTTAAGAAATCCTCTATAAACATGTTTTACGTAGAGAAAACTCTTCTCATATACTTGTTTCGTATTTTATAAATCACTATTGAAAAGTTACTTATAAACTGTTCTAAATGGGCCCATCAATATAAAAAAAGAAGTAGATGTAATCATTATTTTTTTAATAATAATAATAATGGGAGGAGGGAATACTATAGTTCAGAGCAGGAGTCAGAAGAAGCTTCAAAATTTAAACATGAAAAGTGGAAATGGCCAAACTGGGGAATTACTGGTAGAGACAAAAGATGGGAATAAGGTTGGAAAGGAGGTAAGTGAACAGGGGATGATGATACTAATTGCGCCATTTATCAAAACTGTTTGAAAATTCAAAAAATTTGGAGGAGCAAGTAGTAGGGTGTAGAAGCTGTAAAACACACATCCCCATGTATGACAATTATAATCATACTTTAATGGTTGAGCTTAATTAATCTCAATTAATTAGCCCTAGACTGGACATATGGCAGGTGAGTTATATACAATTACAAGGACAAATGTCTCCAACTACTGGGCCCCATCCGCTCGCTATCTCTCTCTCTCTCTCTCTCGTATTTTGAACTGTCTTAGAGGGACCCTTAAACCTTAATAAAGGCAGCCTGTCTTCAACATTCGATACTCCAACTCTTCTTCCTCTCACCCCTTCTCTCCTCTCTCTCTTCTCTCTCCCCTTCTGCTTCGTCTTCTTTTTGCCCTTTTTCTTCTTTAGTCTATTTTTCTCATCTTGGGCCTTGCTAAACCCAGCAACCTCAGCTGGGTCACTGTTAAATCTGCAACTTTCCTCATCTCCGTCCCTGTAACGAATCATGGCTATGGCGAAAGCGGTGAATGATGCCGAGTTATGGCTTCCCTCGCAGATCCTGACCGATGCCGACATCCTCGGCGACAAGGAGAACGATAAGAATGGCGTCAACGCTGACTTGGATGCTTCTTTCGGCTTCCCCTCGGAGTTTCCCTACGATTTTTACTCTTTCGGGCCTTCTGGCTCCGCTATGAGCTCGCCGGTGGAGTCGGTGGCTGGTTCGACGGAGACTGATAGCAGCGGTAGCGACGTTGACGAGGACTTCTTTGCGGCCTGGAGTCGCCGGTTGAGTCAGTCGTCCCTCTACAAAACTCCAAAACTCACTGTCGCCACTTGCTGCGACAGGGACAAAACTGAGGTAAGACTAAAGAGTTTGGGGATTTCTCCGAAATTTCAAATTTCATTTTCGTATCACCCTCCCTTTTAGAACTGATTCGGGTCGGTTCTTTAGGTTCAGAAAACTCGTGGCTTAGCCCGGTCGCCTCAGTCGACTTTGAGCGGAATCGGAAGCTGGTCCGGTAGCAGCGCTGTCTCTGGCGACAGAAGCCCAAGTATAGGTTCTCAGGTTCCATCCCCTCCAACGACGCCGTTTCCTGCAAAGAATGACCTCGCCTGGGATGTCATCTACGCCGCTGCTGGACAAGTCGCGAGGCTGAAGATGAACAGTGAAGTTTCCAAGTACGATTTCCAGAACGGTGCGTTTCTCGGTGCCCCTCGGCCTGCAATTCCAAAGACTCAAGCCCCATCGATTTACTCGAACCAGAGCTTCCTTCAGGTGAGTTTAGCAGATAACAACGATCATTCAAAGCTTAGTTAGAATTGACACTTGGCTTCTGCCTTCGCCGGCGAAGGTCTCAAGGGATTGTTTTCTCTTTTAAGGTTCAGGCTCAACAGGCGAGCCAGCAACAGTGTACTTCTGTGTGGGGGAGGCAAGCTAAAGCTGACTGGCTGGCTCAGCAGCAGCAGAAAATGCAAAACAGAGCTGTGCGCAATGTTGGGTACGAGAGTGTGAAATGTGGGCGTCCTTTGTCTATGCCCCATTGTGCTTGGTCTCCTCTCCAAGTTCAAACCCACAATCATCAGCAGGTGCAGCTCAATGGATCTGGATCACGAGCCGCCGCGAACGGCGGATCTGTTGGTAGAAGGGGATGTGGTGGAACAGGGGTTTTCCTCCCTCGCCAGTACGGAAACCCACCAGAGCCTCGCAAGAAAACAAGTAACCGCTTACTCTGAACTTGTTTATTCTGTAATGTGTTTCTAATTTGTCTGTTAAGATTGCATCTAACATGCAATGGGTTCATTCCCCTCAGGTTGTGCGCCTGTCCTGCTTCCGTCCAAGGTTGTTCCTGGTCGGAACTTGAAGAGCGATGACCTGAATGCAGCCAATCAAACAGGCTTCTCCGCAGCATTTGCCGCCGAGTATGGTGAGTTTGATTTTATCTTTTCAGTCCCCTTGAGGAACCCTCTTAAATGTAAAGTGAATTTCATAGTTAAAACTTGTTTTACTGATGGATTTTGCGTTGTGGTTTTTGATGTTGCAGATGCATTAGTGGCTCGAAGAAATGCTCTACTCTTGCAGCAGCAGAGAATAAGTGGTCGGCCAGAGGAGGTAGCGAACCACGACCTACGCTTACCCCAGGACTGGATATACTGACCGAAGCAAGAAGATTCAAATTCTCCAAGTTAAACTAGTGAAGTGGGGCAAGTGCAATAGGTTTTAAGTAGGGATCATGGTATTTTGGTTTTAAAATTTTTCAATAGGGATGATGAAGAAGAAGATATTCAAGAATGTTGTGTTAGCTTTTAGGTGCAATAAAGCAATATCTATATTTTTTGGGATAAGATTGCGGGTTGTAGGTTGTGGCTTTTCGTTGCGTAAACAGTGAAGAAGAAGAAATAGGAGTTTAGTGTTTTTATTTTGGTTGTAATAAGCTAAAGCTTAGTAGCCGATCTTCTTCCTTCCTGCACTAGTGGGTGATGGGAAGGAAGAGGAAAGTCGGGAGGGGGAAGAAGTGTGAAGCAAGTTAGTAGTAGCGTCAGAGATTGGAAGTTTTTACCCAGAACTTGTAAATCCCTGGCCGGTAAAAAAGTTATGTAATAATTTATACTAAGTAATAATAATATTAATGTTATTATTTCTTCATGTTGTGCTTTTGTTGCTGTTGGGTTGTGCCTTTGATAGCTGTTAATGAAATGGAATCATTATGAAAGATTTTGAAATCAAAAAAGAGGGAAGGGAGATTCAATTTGAGAGGAGAATCAGGCGAAAGGGACAAGCCTGGGATTGAAGGAGACTGGATGGGGTATTCTGGTCCACTCAGTGGGTTCTGGGCCCTTTCTTCCTTAAAAGAGGCAAAATTTCTCTTTATAATACTTAATCATTTATGTATTTTTATCGATATATATGTTCATGGCGAGGAGTGGCATCGCCCTGGCTAATGGCTGTAAACGGAGACATGTTTGAATGTTGTAATTTTTGCTTTTACGAGAGTGATGGGCAATATTTAATATATTTTAGCCCTTCTTTTTAATTTCATGTTACATTGGTGCTTTATTTTTTTTTTTTTAAAAGGAAGTTTGCTTGACATGGAAATATGAACTTCAACACTGGCGTGGTGCTTCCCCAAGTCCCAAGGTTTTGGGTTTTCAAGTTGAGGAGTGAGGGAGACTAATTTAATTTTGAAGTGGGGTAAAGGAAGAACAAAAAGTCTCAGTTCAAATTTTATAGATCCTTTGATTTAATTCCTGACGTTTGCCACAAACACATTTTTGTTTACCATTTCCGTTGGGCAAAAAGAATCGGCATGTCTAAAGAAGATTCAAATCTGGAACAAGATTATGAAATAAAAAATTGTGTATGCATTAGTTTGATTCGAATCATTGCAGCTGATCAGTAACGGCCTAATTTAAGATGATCTTCTACCAGGCAAATTTGCTACCTCCCGATGCGCTATTGGATTGTTGATTTTTGACCTCATGTTAAGAGAGGTTAGTTGCTATGCTGATTTTCGGGCTTTCAAGGTTATCAAATGAATGTGGAAGATGTAATCATAGGTACCACTGAGATCCTAAATGTAAATCATTTAGAGGGAAAAGTTTTGGTAAAAATAAGTGTTTGGGAACCTTATATGAGTCTGTTTAACATGACTTATAAATAACTTTTTAATTGTAATTTATGAAATACAAGATAAGTATTTGAGAAGAGTTTCATTTTTATTTACATGAGACATAATTATAAATGATTTTAAACGCTAATCCAAACAGGGCCATAAGAAACTTAAAGTGCTTTTATGCAAGTTGGAATAAAATACCTCTAATATATTTATCGTGAACTCTATAAAATCACAATAACTTTCCAAAAACTATTCCAAACACCCCTTAAATCACTTATAGTATATTTAATACTTACTTTCTAATTGTATCCTTATTTAATTCTCAGAGAAAGAACTTTAAGAATAAAATTGATTTTTTTTTTCAATTTAATACATTTCTTAATATACGATAATATGAGACAAATGACTTGTATCAATAACAAGTAACATTTCTCTACGGGGGGAGTATAGAGCCCCACTTGGATGGTTTTATGCATCGATTTCATTTAGCTAGTTATCCTCATACATTTTTACATGCCCTTTATTCCGAAAATAATTTTTAAAAAAATATTAAAATAGTTTTTAATGTTTGAGTTCAATCATTGACATAGTTCATCTTAATGTTGAGTGAGAAAACTTAATTAACTCGACGGATGAAGTTGATGATACTATTATATTGAAATGGGTGAGGAATTAATGAAGTGTACTTGCTTTATCCATTACTAGGTTCATTAACTCAGAGTAAAATTAATTATGCGAGTAGGTTAGCTCACCATACCAACTCTATTTTAAATACTGAAATCACATCGTGAGATGTACCCCACTTGAAACTTTACATTACGGAGTACTTATTAATTTAACAAAAAACTCACACATACTGACGTAAAAAAATAAATGGCTACAGCAAGGTTTGGTACCTAACATATAAATCCTCGTGAAGGTCATAAATTTGATATGAGGTCGCATGTGTGTGCTGTTGACTGAGTCAAAATTAGAGAGATGTTTTTTTTTTACCCTATTTCTTCCAGGTGTCCATGCCCACTAAAATTTTCAAATGATTTTGATCATGTGATATGTCGTTGCCCCTTCACGTATCCGCATATATTATGTCTTGTCACTCTTTTTTTTATTACTCTTCCAGTCCTTAATATAAGACCCATTTAACTAATTTGATTAGATTAAGGAAGTTAGGTAAATTAGTTAATTATAAGAAAAATGACACATTTTTCCTAAAACACCATAATCATCTTTTTTATACCCCCTTTCCCTATTCTATTTGATTATGGCTGATGGAGTATCTATAAGGGTAATTTAGAGAAAATTGATAAATATGATAAATGGGTCTTATATTTAGGACCAAAACCAACTCAAGAATTGGGTCCTATATTAAGGACCGGAGGAGTACTATTTTATCTTAATTAATCACAAATTGACCCTCAATTTTCCGATAATAAGCCTTCACGCCCATTAATTTTGCTCACAGTCTTGTTCATTTTTTGTTCCATTATTCATTTATGTATGGGACTATAATTGAAAGGCTAACTTATATTAATTAGAAGAGGAGGAGTATGAATTTACTGAGAAAGGTACGTGAAAAATAAGATATTAATGAAGTGCTAAGATGGAACGGGAACCGGGAAGTAGTGAAAGTACAGCCCCATAAAGTGAGGCATGTGGGGGGTTTGTACGGCCACGCCTGTTCTTTTGATTTCCACTTTCTCACAGTCTTACACAGACTTACTCTTTTTTTTTTTTAATTTAAAAAGAAGAAGACAATTAAGTTATATTTTTTGGGTTCAAAATATAAACTAAATTTTATCTATTTATATTTATCAAGAAATCAATTAAAATCAATTTAAAATAATAAATATGTAAGGCATATATTTGTTTTTTTAATATACTCTTATTAATGAAGAGAATAAGTAAAAGATACAATAAATTAATTAAGAAGAAAAGAGAATATAGGGGGGATAAAATTAGAAAAAACTCATTAAATATTTGAACAAAAATAAATGTTATCTTATAAAAAAAAATCCTTTTAAAAAAGTTTAGCTTAAAAAGAAGAAGACGATTAAATTATGATTTATATAATACTCGTATAAAGTAAGTGTGTAAGATCTCACCTAAGAAAAAAAAAGTAAGTATGGAAGAAAAATTTTATTTTAAATGACATCAATAAATATTTTTAAGAACCTAAATTGTGATGCCAAACAAGCACTACAGGTCCCAAAATAGGATTGAGCTTGTAACATCTATTATTAATGAGGAGATTTCATTTGACAAGGCTACAAATGGAGGCACACAAACTTACTTTAAATTTACATATTTGAAGTCAATTTTTGAATCAATAAGATTGTGTGATGTTCCGGTTAATCACTTGGGCGGTTGATTAGGTCACATGATTTGATCTGTTGAATATTTCAAAATGGGAAAAAAAAAAGCAATAAACAAAGGGTGGATTTTGCACTTTTCAGCATCCTAAGAACACTCTCATTGGCTAACAGTTCAGTAACTGTGCCGTCACCGTTTCAAGTTTACCTTATTTGTTGCTTTTGCTGTTTCGGATTGTTAATTTGTTTCTTACTTTCTTTTGTTTGGTTAAAATCAAGACATTCCATTCATGTCACCCTTGATTCCTGACAATTATCTCAGCATTAATACTAATAATGTGTTATGATTTTTTTAAAAAATAAAATAAAAAGGGTAGGTGTTTGTGGGAGGTCATCATTTTGAAGCAATTTAATTATTGGGCCTTGGCATAATGGCATGCATGGGAATGGAATGACCATATGTAATGCTTAAAGAGCCTCTTTTACGAAATTAACATTTTTTTATGCAAAAAAACATAAACTAGGTTTGGATGTGCCTTTGCTGGCAAGATTGCTAACAAAGGCACCAAAAATAATTGAAAGTAACGTTTAAGCAATATGGAAGGTCACACACGAAGTTGTGATGTGATCATATCATGTTGTGTGCACTATGTGACATCCACTCTTTTTTTTTTTAAAAAAAAAGATTTTGATTACAACCCATCTTAATATTTTTCTCCATATTTTATCTTGATATATTTTTTTAATTGAGAATATGATGTTACATAATACAATCCTCCTCACTTTTACGTTATGTGTGACAATTTGTTTTTAATTTCCTCTTTCTCAAAGGTTTAAGAATAACCATCCAAGCCGTATTTTATAGTTTTTGTATCATGAAATTTTTTAATTTAAAGAAAATATTAATAAATAGTGATTTCATATTTTCAAAAAAATTTACAAAAGAATGACAATTAGGAAAACTCAGAGCACCCAAAGTGCACAAACAATAAAATTAGTGCAATGGAGGCCTTCCCTTGAGCAAATCGTTGAATTAGGGATTCGCCCAATATATTATTATTGAATTAGTGATTCACCCAATAAATTTTTCTTTCTTTTCTCTCCTTTTTTTTTTTTTTGTTGACGACTTGGAGCTGTGATGGTGATGTGAAGGTTAGGAATGGTGGTGGCCTCCCAACTACTTTAATAGGGCTACAGTGGCCCATATCTGCAGCCGTCAATCACGTTTCTTCTTGGTCCATCCGAATCCGCCAACCCGATCCATTCACTTTACATGCATCCTTTACTTTCACATAATCATGCAACCTGTCACAAAGCGTAAAAAATACACTATATCTCTTATCCTTTAAATAATTATCTTACATTTCGTGTTTAATATAACACCTAATTAATTAAATTGAGAAGATTAAGGATATTGAATACATTACTTCTAAGTATTATATTATTGTTTTTCTCCAAACTAGTTTGCCCGGTTTATAAACTTATATATAATCTAATGATACATATACATATTTTAGAGAGATTATATAATATATGCTATAATTAAGCATACTTTTTAATTTTTTAAATTAGTTAATTAGATCATATATTAAGGATTTGAGCAGTAAGTACCTTAGGACATAGAATGTAGCTGGCAAATATCAAATCATAAGTGGTGTGTAGTTGGGGCATGATATCACTTGTAGAAGCTTCGACTTTTCAGGATCCAACATTCTTAATTTTGTTGATTTAGAAAATGAAAAGTGTAAATTGCAAGAATTAAGGCGTTCATTTTGGGCTTAAACTAGTTTTGTTATATGATGTGAATCTCATCCATCATATCCGTTCCAATTTTACGCCTTCCAGCCTATACACATGACCTGTCATTAAAGCCGAGCCAACAAAGCATTTTGTCACCCACCATTCTTCTTTCCATTGACTTTGTTCAACCAAAATTTGATTCTTCTTCAGGCTATACTTTTGTAACCTAATTTTGTTTTGATATAATTTAATTTCGAATGCTTTGTACGCTTTTACTTATGCCTAAATTCTATTATGTTTTAATTTATTCTCCAAATTTATCATGAATTCGTTTCATCCATTCATATTGCAAGGTGGTCTGGAATTTTGAATGATGAAATGATCCTGATATAAAAAAAAAACAGTAATATTTCAAAAATTAGACAAAAAAAAATCAATGTAAAGTACTAAATAGGAAAAATTCTCCAACAAGGATGTAAACCTTGGTGAGTTCCCAACTCCCATTAGGTTGTGTGACTCTAATTTTAACTTCGAATTCAGGTTTATGATGATGGTATTGTTTGGGTCAAACATTGTGTTTGATTAAGCTTTGCCCTATTTGTGTGTGTGTGTGTTTTTTTTTTGGTTTTGGAACTGTTTGATGATGTGTTGTTGTTTTTCACTAAGCTAAAATACTTCTAGTGAAAAAAAATACAATAAAAGGAAAAGCAAACCTATTGATATTGAAGAAAAATAATAAGAATTGAAATTTATTTCTGTTATTGCACATGCAACCAACCATTATTTTTGTGAATTATATATAAAAGTAGTGAGGGTTATGAAAGTGTTCGTTACTACTATTATTTTGCTGGACCGAGCATATTGATACATTGAATTTTTTTTTTTGAATGATGATACATTGAATTATTGAATGTGAGAGGTCCCCCCCCCCATTTTTCTTTAAAAAAAAAAAGTTGAAGATCAGGAATTGAGCCAATCATGGGGAGAGGCCCACCCAAAGAAGCTTTGGCATCTTTTCGTAAATCCAATGAACGTATTTTCATGATACTCCCCAACTTTAGTGTTGTGGAATTCACTTCACCCATTCAATCATTTGCATCCTTCCTATTCATTTCAAACCTTCATGCTTTTATTATAATTAAACCCATAATATAAAAGCCTGTTATCTCACTAAAAAGCCTGCACAGTTTTTCATAACTGAAAAAAATCCTACAAGTTTCTTTCTTATTAACTAAACATTAGACTTGGATCGTGTCTCCACAGTGCTAGTTAGGTTCACTGCCTCTAAAACACCCAGGCATGTTCTAAAATTACCACAAAGTAATTTGAGTGAAGGAATAATTCCTCACAATGTGGCAAACTAAAACTCAAATTGCCACTTCAAACAAGATTGTCTTCGATGAAAAGATACCGATACCTAAAGGAAAAACAAGAAAGAAGAAAGCTACAAAGTGCGCACAAGATAAAGGTTCAAATTGTCTAACTGATACATTCCTTAATACTTTTGCAAGCTGCAAATCCTCCACTGATGGTACGTGAGTTTTCAAAAAAGAAAAGGGGCTTCAAATTTATGAACTATTAAATCTTTTTCTTTGTTCTGGTTTTATTTTAAATGCATAGGCACAAGAAATATAATTTAGAATCGTGGCAGTGGCCCAACTTAGTTTTTATTTGATCATTTCCCATGACGCGAATAAGTTAGTTAGAGCCGAAACGTTATGAAGCCCATCTTCATTAATAATAGGCCTGGCACTGTACATTGAAATGGGCCAATTGGGCTGGGAAGAAATGAATGGGCTGAGCCTTTTAAAGTTAAGGAAAACGGATCTTATATCATGACAGAGCTTCCCGGCTCCACGTCCGAAGGCCAACATTACACCTAATTCAATTCCCAGGATGACAAACTGAGCCTCTCCAACTTCACGCAGCCTTTTAGGCCCTCACAGAAGAGCATTGTGGTGGTAAATATATTCAAAGCTTGAAAAGTCTCCTATTTTAACATTTAATTTCAACCTACATTTTTGCTTCGTTATATATAGTACAGATTTCTTTTCATTTCTACTTGTTCTTTTTTTTAAAAAAAAAAAATTTTGGCCAATTTCATAGTTTGATTTTTTCCTGCTATCCTCCTAATCCTATTCAAGGGGTTCAAGGCACTAAATATGGACTCTCAGCAGAGATTTGAACGTGACTAAACCCTTGGTTCATCGTTTGCTTTTGTTCCGAGTTCCAACTTTCATGTCTCCTTCTCCACTTCCGAACCTTTTCTGTTGCCCGGTCTTTTTTTGGCTTCATTTCAAACACCATGGAATCTTTACTTTGGAGGAATAAGTTTTTCTATAAATACCCTTTTCATGTTATACTTCCTGACTCGTCATCCCACTTGGCCCAGTGCAAAAATAGTATTTAGCTCTTGTAGTTATTTCATTGTGGCGTGAGAGATTATTGAAGCCCAACATAAATCAAGCCCAACACCTAAGCAAAAGCCCAACGAAGAGTAGGATGTTGGCAGAATACTTTTCTTGTTAATTTTACTTTACACGTGTCTTGCTTGTAATGGAGAGAGTTCTCTATATATTGCTCTTTACCACTGTTCATGTTGATACAATGAATATACACAATGTTCTCTCGTTCCTTGGGCGTCCCTGCTTTTCTTTTCATTTCAATCATGGTGCTTCGTTTTCACTTCTGCTTCAACATGGTATCAGAGCATAGGCTACTCTAACCCTTAGCAAATGTCTGGTTCTCCTTCGCCCAACATGTCTTCTACTGGTTCTCCTCACACACACTCAGAACGGTACTGTTGAACACAGACACTGCACCATTGTTGAAACTGGTCTTGCTCTTATGCATCATGCCTATGTTCCACAAGCCTACTGGTCATTTGCCTTCTCCACGGCCTCCTTCCTTCTCAATTGATTACCAAGTTCGGTTTTACATGGCCAAAGCCCATTTGAGATCTTAAATAAAACAAAACCTGATTACACTTTTTTGAAAGTTTTTGGTACAGGCTGTTGGCCCAATCTGCGCCCTTATGTTTGTCACAAGCTAGCACCAAGATCCCATCTATGTGTTTTTATTGGCTACGCCTCCAATCACTTGGGGTACCTTTGCTTGCATCTCCCCTCCGAATGAATATATACATCCCGAGATGTCATTTTTGATGAAAATCTCTTCCCTTTTCAAGCCCAACACAAAAACTCTGAGCCCAATGCCTTACTCCAATCCACTATTCCTCTTCCCAATTTTACACTTCAACCCACTTCATCCAGGCCCATAACTGACAGCCCAGTGTCCTCTCCTCACCCTATTCATCTTCCTCCTTCCCCCACTGCGCCCTCACAGTCTCTCTCGTCACCCTTTTCGACGCCTTCTCTCTCTTCCCACACTACTTCGCCGCCTGCTGCCCCACCTACCCATGTACCATCACCACCTCGTCCTTCTCACCCGATGGTCACTCGCTCACGAGCAAACATTTTCAAACCCAAACATCTCTCTCCTGATTTTACCTCTCACATACCCCCACGAGCTCACTACTCCTCGGTCAATGAACCCATCGTACCATCTTCAATCTCCCAAGCCCTCAAAGCTCCTGAATGGCGCCAAGCCCTCCAAGATGAGTATTTCGCCCTCCTCTCCACCCATACCTGGGATCTTGTTCCATATTCTCCTTCCATGAACATCGTAGGTTGCAAGTGGGTCTTTCGAAAAAAATTTCTCGCTGATGGCTCCCTTGATAAGCTCAAAGCCCGACTTGTAGCTAAGGGATTTCACCAACAACCAGGGATCGATTTTGCCGACACCTTCTCTCCGGTAGTCAAGCCCGTCACTGTTCGCCTCATACTAGCTCTTGCGGTTTCAAAGGGCTGGCTGATAAATCAAATTGATGTCTAAAATGCTTTTCTTCATGGTTTTCTCACCGAAGATGTTTATATGCAGCAGCCTCCTGGGTTTGTTCATCCTGACCTTCCCTCCTATGTCTGCAAGCTGCGCAAGGCCATTTATGGCCTTAAACAAGCACCTCGAGCCTGGTTCGCTCGTCTCAGTACTTGCCTGGCTGAACTCGGCTTCCACTCCTCTCGGTCCGACTCTTCCCTTTTCATTTGCCACAACTCTAAATGCACTATTTATGTTTTAATCTATGTTGATGACATAATTGTTACTGGGTCCTCTACTGATGCTGTCAACAATCTGATAAATGCTCTTGGTATCTCTTTTCCTGTCAAAAATCTCGGTCCATTGCACTATTTTTTGGGTGTTGAGGTTCTTCCCTCCTCCTCCGGTCTTATCCTCTCTCAACGCAAATACATTCTTGACCTTCTTGAAAAAGCCAACATGTCCAAAGCTCGCCCGGTCTCCACACCAATGGCTTCGAGTTCTACTCTCACTGCCTCTCTTGGACCTGATTTTCCCAATCCACATCAGTATAGAAGCATTGTTGGTAGTCTTCAGTATTTAAGCTTCACTCGGCCAAACATTACATTTGCCGTCAACAGAGTCTGTCAATTTATGCACCATCCAAAGGAACATCACTGGACTGCTGTCAAACGTATCTTACAGTATCTCCGTGGCACCTCTCACTTTGCTCTACATATGAGGCCCTCCCCTTCTCTTACTCTATCTGCTTTTTCGGATGCCGATTGGGGTGGTAACCCAGATGATTACCGATCCACAGGGGCCTTTGCTATCTATCTTGGTCCTAATTTAATCGTTTGGAGTTCCAAAAAGCAAGCCTCTGTCGCGCGCTCAAGTACTAAAGCTGAGTACAAAGCAATTGCTACCACTCAGTGAAGTTATCTGGTTACAAAACCTTCTTTATGAGCTTGACATTTACCTACCTAATGCACCCTTTCTTTATTGTGATAATTCGGGTGCCACATATCTTGTTGCCAATCCCATTTTTCACTCCAAGGCCAAACATATTTCATTGGACTATCATTTTGTACGTGAGCGCCTCACCTCTGGCCTTCTAAATCTTCCACATGTCTCTTCCAGAGATCAAATTGTAGATATTCTAACCAAACCTCTCCCTACCTCTCGGTTCAATATTCTGCGTTCGAGTCTCACAGTTCTTCTAGTCCAGTTCGACTCGCGGGAGAGTATTAAAGCCCAACACCTAAGCAAAAGCCCAACGAAGAGTAGGATGTCGGCAGAATACTTTTCTTGTTAATTTTACTTTACACATGTATTACTTGTAATGGAGAGAGTTCTCTATATATTGCTCTTTACCACTGTTCATGTTGATACAATGAATACACACAATGTTCTCTCGTTCCTTGGGCGTCTCTACTTTTCTTTTCATTTCAGTCATGGTGCTTCGTTTTCACTTCTGCTTCAACAGAGATACTTGTGAATTCTACAAAGTCGAAGCACTATTATAACAGTTTCCACTTAATCGTTTCTCATAGAAATCGCGAAGGTTAAATATGAAGACGAAAGACTCAACTAGATATGTAGGATACTGAAAACTTCACGAACTCATAACAGATTCACACATCATAACTACACACAGAGACAGCAATCCCAGCACGGCCGAGCCCCACACGAACCCAGACCGTGTTCTTATTTTAGACTTCTCACAACCGTCATCCATTACAAAAGCAAGCAGAGTACTAGTGAGGTTCCGTTCAGCCGGTGATCTGAACGGCCTTCACGTCGGGCTTCTTCACGTCCTCCTTCGGGACTGTGACCGTCAGCACGCCGTTCTCCATGCTGGCCTTCACCTGCTCCACCCTGGCGTTCTCTGGCAGCCTGAACCTCCTGAGGAAGCGGCCGCTGCTCCTCTCCATCCGGTGCCACGTGTCGTTCTTGTCCTCCTTCTCCCTCGTCCTCTCTCCGCTGATCTGCAGCACCCTCCCCTCCTCGATCTCCACCTTCACCTCCTCCTTCTTCAGGCCCGGCAAGTCCGCCTTGAATACGTGAGCCTCCGGTGTCTCCTTCCAGTCAATGCGGGTGTTGGCGATGGCCGCCGTTTCGCTTGTCAGGTCGGATCGAGGGGCGGTGACGGCAAAGTCCTGCCATGGATCCCATACGTCGAGGGAGAAGGGATCGAAGACGTTGGTCCTGCGACCGGTGCCGAAGAAGCTTGGAATCAGCGACATTTTGCGTATGAATACAGTTGAGAGAAATTAACAACACAGTGATGATGAAGCTCTGGGTTTGATATATATTTGCCTGAGCTGCTTATGGATGAGGAAAGAAGAGGAGGAGGGGATGTATTTATACACGAGGAGAAGGAGAAAGGGAGATAGTGGAGATGGTTCTGGAGAAGGAGAGAGAAGAATCAATCAACGGCGAGCAAGACAGTAGGACCGGGGTCTAGAGAGTTGGGGAGCATGGCGGGCGAAACAGAAAACGAAAGTGAGCGATGCTTCCCGAATATTTTGTACGTTTCTCAATTTATTTTGATATTTTCCCTCATTAAGCAGTGCCACGTCACAACATTCTGGTTTCTGCCAGGGGTTCCTTTTCACAATGATGATTGAATAACAATAATGAGATTTTTCATTTAATCAACACGTAAGCATGTTCAGGATGAATACAAAGGAGTCTGATCGAGCTCGAAATGATGAGATTGAGGAAGATGAACAAGGGCCTAGCGGACTCGTAGTCTAGCAGAAAAGGCCAACCTTCCCACAATTGGGCCGCACTCAGCAATCCTGGATCCACAGGCTCAACAGTCATCAAATCGGGCGGGAACATTTTTATGTATGATTGAAGGTAGGGGTGTTCACTCCCAGATATCCGTCTTGGTTCCAATCACTTTGGAAAGAAACAGTCCGATCCCCGTTCTATCCCGATACATTATTTTTACTCATTTTTAATATAATAATATTATAATTTTTACAATTTTAGAATTTATAAGCTTTTCTGTATGGGTTATATAATATTTTTAGGGGATATTTATATCAATTATTGTTCTGATCCGTCCTATGAACACTGTAGTTTAAAGAAGATTTTTATCAAAAGGCCGCATCTGTTTCAGTTAACCAACATTCAATTTTTGATATTGGCCAACTTAACGTAAAAATGAAGCTGCCCATGAATTTTCTTCTCCATTCATCGTTTCTGAAATATAATAATAAAAATTAAATTTATACAATCGTTGTGCATTGTGTAGTTCAGCGCAGAGAGCCAATGCCACGAGTCCACTCAAAGTCCCACAGAAATGACACGTCATATATTAATATTGAGGGAGCGGAGCAACAGCTCATGGCTTATGCATACGTGTCATTGTGTTGTACAAGTGTGAATCCGCCGAAAATCCTGGTTCATCCTAGATGCTTCTTTCCCTGCCCTATATACAATACAATCTCCCTTTCTCCTTTTCATCCGCACAGGTATTCCGCAGACTACGCAGAATATCGATTCCAAGTATGTCGCTCATCCCAAGCTTCTTTGGCAATCGACGAAGCAACATTTTCGATCCTTTCTCTCTGGACCTGTGGGATCCCCTTGAGGGCTTCTCATTCCCCGGCACGGTGGCCAACCTGCCGTCCTCTGCTCGGGAAATCAGTGCCATAGCCGGTACCCGTGTGGACTGGAAGGAAACACCAGAGTGTCACATATTCAAGGCTGACCTTCCGGGGCTGAGGAAGGAGGACGTGAAGGTGGAGGTGGAAGATGGAAGGGTTCTGCAGATCAGTGGGGAGAGAAGCAGAGAGCAGGAGCACAAGGACGACAGGTGGCACCGCATTGAGAGGAGCACTGGCAAGTTCATGAGAAGATTCAGGTTGCCTGAGAACTCTAAGATGGAGGGGGTCAAGGCTTCTATGGAAAATGGGGTGCTCACTGTCACTGTGCCTAAGCAGGAAGAGAAGAAACCTGACGTCAAGCCCATCCAAATCACTGGCTAATGCTTCCATACATGCTTCTCCCTTGCCTGGGTCCCTAAGGGTGAGAGCTATCTGCTGCAGTGTTTCCGTTCAGAACTGCGTTTTTTTTTTTTTTGTCTAAATCTGTTTTTGGCTTAATGCAATGTCATCAAGCAATGTTGGCGTCTATAAAGCGTGCGCAAGTGGTTTTTGTTCAACGTCTATGATATAAAATTACTGCAGTTTCTCAGTTTTTGCCCCAGAAAATCGGTGATCCTTCACTTGGTACGGCGGATAAAGTAATTCCAGTGCACTTTTCTCCTCCGGACTAAAATAAATGAACAATCATCCCCAAGGGGAAAAACCTGTAACTTCATACCTCTACCTCTGCATTAAATGAAAACGAGAGGAGAGTAAACAACACACATTTGACTCTACATTTTAGTTCTGTAAGAACATCTTTCTTTCAGGAAATACACCTGATTTCTTCTATTCCAGGTGGCCTTAAACCGTTCTTATATTCTTCAGCATTGCGGCTTCGATCAAATCGAAGCCACTTTGCATCAGAAAAAACAATAACTCATAACAGAGCAATATTCCTTTCCCTCCCTGCATGACGCAAAAATGAAAGAAAAACAGTTGACATTTTAATCTCGAGATCAGCTATGTAAACATTATGATTTTACAGCTAGATGATTCCTCGTGGAATATTTAATATAGTTCTCAACACATTGAATGTACATGATTTTTAGCATTTTTCTATCCCAGGTGGCCCTGGCAATTTTAATATTCTTCAGTGCTGTGGCTGTCTAATTGAAGACGTCTCGCACAAGAAGAACAATATATGGGCACGACTCATAAGTAACACATGCAGTGTAACGTTCCTTATAGTCCACAGACAGATGTGATCATACGTCGCAACAAGACGGTAATGGTAAAAGAGGAATAGATTCAAGGTGTGAAAATGTGGCATCAACAACACATCAGAATCACACATTTATCTACGGAAAAGTAGAGATCGATTGATATAACAGGGGACACTTCTAACGTCAGATTGCTCTGTGATCATTCTCTAGTTATTCAGATTTGCTCGTAACTGCAATCGGATCCTTCCGTAACGCATTTTAAATGACATTCCAGGAAGCAAAAGCATAGTAATCATTAAAACACGCAGTCAGATAGTCTAAATTGCATAGCGGAGTTCGCAATTCATTCCATACTAGGGCTTTTACATCGTGATCACCGACACCAGAGTCTCACACCAAGGGGGGAAAAAAAAGAAAAGAAGACATAGCTTCTCATCACACAGACAATTATTTCCCATATAAGACCCTAACCATAACCATTGCTAGTTTATACAGAGAACAAAAGAGACAGCACCTGAGATTTTAACCAGAAATTTCAATGAACCGGACGTCCGGCTTCTTCACTCCTTCCCTGGGCACAGTCACAGTGAGCACGCCGTTCTCCATCGCAGCCTTGACCTGATCAACTTTAGCATCCTCTGGAAGCCTGAACCTCCTGGAGAAGCTGCCACTGCTGCGCTCAATCCGATGCCAGGTGTCGGTTTTCTCCTCCTGTTCCCGGTTCCTTCGCCCGCTGATCTGAAGAATCTTCCCTTCTTCAATCTCCACCTTCACTTCGTCCTTCTTCATACCAGGCACATCGGCTTTGAACACGTGAGCCGCAGGAGTCTCCTTCCAATCTACTTCAGCGTGAGCAAAGGACGACATCTCAGAGGGGAAGCCAGCGAGGGGAAGAGTGGGCCATCCTTCGAAAGGGTCCCACGCATGCAGTGAGAATGGATCGACGGTGTTTGGTCGACGGCCAAACCAGCTTGGAATCAACGACATGGTTGTTGATTGCAGACGCAAAACGCAGAATTCAGAGAAAGGGGGAAGCCGATATTGATTGGAAAGAGTGAGTGGAGAAGGCAGAATATGGAGCGAGGGTTGTTCATGATGGTTCGAGAAGGTTCTCTTTTGGACCGTTGGGATTGCACGAGGTCAGGTCCGTGTGCATCATCAGATCATCTGAAACGTGCGTTGACATCCGTTATGAATTTGGAAGTGATGCTTATTACTTACTGGCCACGCATAAAGCATCCAAGGACTCAGATTTTCAGGCCTGCGTTTTTTTTTTCACCCCTGTAATGCGGACTGTTATTTGACTTTAAATTAAATATTTTTTTCCCAACTTAAATTAAATGATTTTATTACTCTCTCCATCCCTTATTATAAATAATTATCAGAATCACATTAGTTAAATTGATTAAAAGACTAGTTCAAAATTTTAAAAAAAGGAATTATTTCTTATATCTAGAGATATTATTATGAGAGAGTTGGTTTTTTTCTTATAAAAAATAACAGGAAATGCTCTGGGGAAATGAAATCTAAAAAATAGTCGTGCTAATCATGTTTTGAAAATAGTATGCGAGGTTAAAATATTTATATTTTATATGAATATAAATTATATAGAAATAATTAGTCAATGTAAATCATTAAAATTTGATTTAAATTATCTAAGAGCAGAGCATTTATTTGGCCGCCATATTTTCTGTCACTATTGGCCATAAAATATTTCATACCAAGAGTTAGTTGACTAATTTGAACTGATTAAAAAGATTAGTTAAATTAATTATTTATAATAAATATATTTTGTTTTCTTTAAAATATCCTTAGTAATTACCTGTATTAATTAGAATTATTATTTGATAAAATATTTAACATATGTAATTACTATAAAAACTATTTTAGAAAATATATAAATATAAGAGATAAAGTGAATTAAGAATTTATAGTTATGATTAAATTGAAAGTTAAGTTATCATATTAAGGCGTGGAGCTAGTAATTCATAGCAATACCCAATAAAAAAGAATGATAATTCCGGCAAAACAAAAATAGCAATAAAGTCAATTGCACATGGGGTTCACAAAAGAAAGCACCAGCATGAGTCGCCATAAACCCAAAAAGCAAAAGGGAAAAACGCATCAACAATGAGAATGGTGGGTTGAAAACCCGTTCCATAAAACTCGTTCTCGTGTTATACGACTCAAGCCTAATTGATTGTTTTAGTCATAGGAGTAGAGATCAGAGATTCATGTCGAATAGCGAGACTACAAATATCGCCAATCGACGCGGAAACTTGCTCATTCTGGACCCGAATCGACATTGTTCTCTTCCCCCCCCCCCCGGGGGGGTTTTGCCCTGAAAGAAATGTCATCGTCCGTTTCATAAGCTTTCCTTTCCATAGCCTCCACTAAACATTTCTCTGCATGGGTTTGAAAGCTTAGCATGAAATGGAGTAGAGTGGGACATGATGAAATGAAATGGATGGCTCCCTTCTAATATTTATTACTTTCATACGCACGCCATCATGCACGTATTGTTAGACTATATGGTAGATCAAAAATCACAAGCGTTGCAAGACTAGATCTGATTTTTATTGTGGCCTAACATCTCATTTCTATTAGATATAAACTCTCGCTTTTTAATTCATTCTATCTACTTAGGCTCTGTTTTTTCTTCACTGTTCTTCTCTTGATACCTTTGTATTGTAGGGTGGTTTTAATTTCTTTACCGTTGGTTTTACTCCTAGGACTGTATCCAGAACCTTTGTATTTTATTCATTTTGCTGTTAAGATTGCTTGTCCTTTTTTCAAAAAGCATTCTGTGTTTTTATGATCAACCATGCACTAGAAAAAGTAAAGGAATTTAAGTTTCAAAATTTATAGCTCATCTAAACTTTGACCATGTATCATATGAGCTGACGGTCTATTTACAACAGGTAAAAAAGAGAGAAGAAAAATTGGGTTGACAGATTTACAGGTCGTCGTCGCTATCACTGGGACTTGAATCATCCACGTTAATTGCTGCCACTTTTGAAGTGCTAATCCTAAAAGAAGCCGAACGAATCTTAAACGGCAATTTGGGATTGCTTTGGACCACCCCACAGTCGGGTTCCCCTTTCCCTTCCTCTTTCTTCAGATCGCTAGGAGGCAAAAAGCAATCCATGGACAGTCCCTTGATGTTGAAATCTACTTCTTCAATCTCCCAAGCTTCTTCCATTCTCGTCCTCGAATGGCTTTCCGGTCCTTCCCCAAACCTAAACAAGGACACACAACTCTTCCCTGCGTGTGCTATCTTTATGCCATCTACATTTCTATAATCTTGTATCACAGATTCCATGGTGGTTTCCCAGAATATGCCGTCGTTTCCAGAGGATTTGATTCTGAGTAGGTGGGAGTCTTCTAGTTGTACCAACAGGCCAGTTCTTTGGCTGAAGTAGCCCCACATAGTGTGGCGTATTATCTCTACATTGCTGCTACTTCTTGCTCGAAGTGCTGAGGATTCGGCTTCCATTTTTAATATGAAACAGTCTTCGCTGTTCACTGTCTTCTCACCTATGCATATGGAGTTCATAAACAGGTTGGCCGTCGACCTTGGATCAAGACCCTGCTCAAAACGCCAGAAAGAAATAGTTCATTTTACAATTCATAAGGAGCGAGGAGCTGGTCGTAGTAATGTACGAGTTTGACTCTATCGACATCATATGTATTGATATATATTATATACTATTATGCTACTTCATTTGGGCTAATTAGTTACAGATCTAGTACATAAAAGCCGGTATGAACATTTACGTTTTAAAGTCTAAAGGAGGAAGAGTACAGGCTGTCACTACAGCTCAAATGGAATAATATTGTCAACACCTTGATAAAAAGAAAGATAATTGTTTGACTTTAAAGGAAGAAATTTAAATCCGCAATCCCCTCTTATTAGTTGACTTTTCTTTATCTAATTGTAGAACTTCGTTAGAGGGCTTCACCCAACAAGTGCAAATTTCCAAGGGACTAGAAGGAAAGTAGGTCAATTTTTTCTTATAGCCTGTGTCGTCTTCTTTCGTTTTCTTTCCCCCCAAACTAGCTTAAGGCGCGTTAGGGAATAGGCCGACCGCATTACCAAGTTCAAACCCTTTCTTTTGTCCAGACTTCAGATTATGGAAACAGGGAAGCCCCATCAATTAGAGAGTGGAAAGACAATTTGCGAAAACACTATAGACGAAGATAGGATGTAGTGAATCCAAGCAATAGCCAGCCTTAATGAGCGTTGTAACGTATTTTAAGGCCTTTTGTCCCCCCCCACCCCCCCGCGGCGGGCCCCGGGGGGGCCAGGGGCGGGAGCCAGATGAACTCTGCAAACAGAGTAGGGAACTTGTCGGTTTAAAAAAAGTGGATTCAAACAGATTCCAACGCGGATAAGCTTGACTTAGCAGAAACTATAACATTAATTCAAGGAGAAAAAGGACTTTTGACCGTACTAATCTTGGTGTTTGACATGAAAAATTATCCAACATGCCGAACACAAATGCATCCAGTAATGTCAGTGCTATATCTGTTACCTGTAGGAAGCGCCTAAGAGGTCTGGGTGGGCCGCGAGAAGCATGAGAGTGATGCCAAGGGGTTTGCCTCCATGCCACATTGCCGTCGCTCCCGGCGCTGATCTTGTAGCCGGAAACCACCAGCTCCAAGCACCATAGCTCCGGCCGCTTCTGCCACACCACGAACCCTCCCATCTCCGCCGGTGTCTGTGCCTTCTTAACCTTCACCATCTTCTTTACACCATTTCCGTTCCCTTCTCCTGCGCCAAACTCCGACGTTCCCATTCTAACTTGCCCCATCGCGTACATGCTCTCTATCGAATTCAACGCATGCTCTCCTCCCACCGCCGCCACATATTGTTTAACTATGTATTTCGCCATGGACGCCTCCTGCGCACGCAGATTAAACAAATTTAGGTAAACATCAAAATTTGGGGTTTCCTTTTCCAGGACAATCAACGATCGATTTCTAATTCATTACTTACAATATGCAGGTCTTTAATGTTACGACTGATAGTCTGGCTCTCGGGGTTGATAGGGAAAGGGATTAACGGAGCTCCGACGACGCCCAACAAAAGTTGGATCTCCGTGTTGCGGCCACCATGAGCGTAGAGCGCCGCGGATGATCGGGAATCAATATTTGGCTTCATCCAGGACATCATGTTCTGCCAGGCTCTGGCAGTTGCGGTCTTGGTGGTGAAAATTTCTTCAGGGATTGGGACCTCGAGAACCGTCTCGAGCGCATCCTCGCGATCCAGATTAGGGCACAGCTTCTTCATGAGAGAAGCTTAAGAGAGATCTTGGGGATTTAGGCAAAGGGTGTAATGGGCCACAGAGGCGAGCAAGAAAGTTTGAAGAAGAGAGAAAGAGGGAAGTGGGAGATGAAGAGGTTAGTACCAACCGGATATGGGTCCCCTCCGTAACGTGGTGTGCTTTGTGTGTGTCGTGATGGCACGCCTCTCTCTTCTTAAAGTAAACTCCCCAGCAAAAATGCGAAATCTTTATTTGGTATTTAAAATTAAAATTCTTTTTTAAAATTAAAATTCGTTTATGGGATATTTAGGCTGAGATATCTATGACTTGAATTAGGGGATTCTTAAATATATAGCCGTCCAAGGCCAAAAAGAGGAATTTAACATCGGTATTCTGGGAATCTGTTAATTTGATTTATTTTTTAATTAGATTTAAAATGTCACACTAATGACCAAAATATGATATTGATTTGAAATAGATATGAGAATCTTATATTTATCCATGCAAATTTTATATTATGTGTAAATATTCATTAGGTGTATTTGTTTTTACATCACCATTTTTTTTTTTTGACCGGAGTTTTTACATCACCATATATACATTAACTAATAAGTAATAACTATATATATGGCCTCCCTCAGTCCCTCTTGCTACAAATATACAAACACGATGAATATTGAAGAATAATAAATTTATTAAAAATTTTATGTTTTGCACTGGCATTAATTAAATTGCGTTAAATTCAACGATCTTGAATTGAATTAAAAGTGGGGCCACAGTACATGTGGAAATGGAGAGCCAGAGAATGTTCAGGACTAAGTGACTAATTCAGGCACCCAGCTAAGTCGCAATTCCATGTTAAATTTAGTTTTATTAAACGAAAAAACAGCGGCATACCCCTTTCAAGTTAAAAATAAAAAATAAAAGCGAAAATCAACTGGGGAGATAATTTACTTAGATATTTTAAAACTGAATGATATTATTGAAGAGAAACTTTGTGGATAAAGTATACTGATATTATTAATAGATCCTCAAAACATTTAAATCTGGACATCCGTTAAAATAATAATTAAATAATGCAAGCTAACATATTAGATATGTAATCTTACACTTAATTTCAATTAAATTTAATAAAACACTGGGTATAACTAATTGTTTCATGCAGATCGTGTTTCAACTTATGCCCGTTTTATTTAACGCACGCTGTGTTTTGCGGAAATTTTTACTTCTCTTATTTTACGGGCCTTAACGAATTATTGTTTGATTGATATTTATTATAGTGTGAAAAAAAGTGTGTGATTATTAATTATAGTGTTTGTGTAAAAATTGATCTAAATGATTTTAAATTTTGAATCCGTCAGGCTGATTTAGATAGCACTGAAATGTCATGACGAAGTGTTTTGTGTGTGTGTGTGTGTGTTAGATAAAGGTAATTTAGTGGAATAAAATTTTTTGGGAGTGCATGGCACGAAGCATGTGATGATAGGTTAACTCCTAAGAGAGGGATAATCATTAGTTTAATCATTTAACCAATCCCTTACTTCATGAACCATGAACTAAGGGAGGAAAAAAACCGATATATACTACCTCCAATCCTAATTATAAGACTTTATTTACAGATTACAAATAACATCTTATAATTAAAACCGGAGATAGTAATACTGAGAAAGAAAAACAAAGAGAAGACCAACATTGGAAGGCGACAATAGGAGGGCATGGGATTGGGTTATTAGGATGAGCTAACGAGTGACGACACAGCCACATGAAGAATGAATCTACGGATATGTCTGTGATGTGCAGGGGAGATTTGGCATGCTTCCTTATACTGTGAATCTAAACGTTGGATTAACCAAACTGGGGGATGATTATTGGAGCGACACGTATCCAATTCCGATTCGGCTGTGCATCCAACGCTTTTTTTCTCCACAAAATAATACTGTGTCGTCCCCAATAATGTCCTCCACGTTCTCTCCTTTGTCCCCAAACCAACCCTCCCTCCGCTTATATATATATATATATATATATATATAGACACACACGCACACACCCTGCTAATTAATTAGTCTTTATTTATTTGTCACAGTGGCGACCAGGTAATTATCTTCTTTGTTTACACTTACCAACTTCTTCATTCGTTTATTCATTTTTTATTTTTTTTTATTTGTGATCATATATGTTGTCTTCCTCCGAACCTACCCTCCCCAGATTCCTCCCATACACTATTGTCGTCTTGTTTAATTAGTTCGAATCTCCACACAGTATACATCCTTTCCTTTGTGTGTGTGTGTGTATAAGTATATTCATCAAATTCAGCAATATTATAGGTATCACGGTCAAGACCACTACAAAAAAATTGACTTTCAGCGGCGACAAAAGTCGCCGCTGAAAGTACAAAAGTCGCCGCCGAAAGTTTTTTGCGGCGACAAGTCGCCGCTGAAAAGTCGTTGCTGTAACAGCTGTGGCTAAAAACTTTCAGTGGCGACTAAAAAGGTCGCCGTTAAAAGGTACTTTCAGCGACGACTTTTAGAAGTTTCAGCAGCGACAAATGTCGCCGCCGAAAACACTTTCGGCGGCGACATTTGTCGCCGCCGAAAAGCCTTTCGGCGGCGATAAAAAAGTCGCCACAGAAAACACTTTCGGCGGCGACACTCTTGTCGCCGCTGAAAGACTTTTCGGCTTCAGCGGCGACAAGAGTGTCGCCGCCGAAAGTGTTTTCTGCGGCGACTTTTTTGTCGCCGCTGAAAGTAATGCCTAAGAAGAATTGGCTTTACCAATGCCACGTCATCACCGCCGGTGCCACGTCATCATCTCCGGCTGCCACGTCATCGCCGTCGACCTCCACGTCATCGCCATCGGCGGCCACGTCATCACCGCCGACCGCCACATCATCACTAGCCACCTCCACGTCACTCCTCTTCGCCACGTCATCGTCTAAATATTTTCACCTTAAATGTGTCTTCTTCCAGGTTCGAACTCGTGACCGCCTCCCTTCGTGTCCAACCTTCTTGCCGCTGAGCCAGATTGAATTTGTTTATTAATATTGTAAAATAAAATATATATTATTATATTATACTTTCAGCGGCGACACAAAAAGTCGCCGCTGAAGGTCCACTTTCGGCGGCGACAAAAAAAGTCGCCGCTGAAGGTCCATTTTCGGAAATTTGTTTAGTAATATTGTAAAATAAAATATATATTATTATATTATACTTTCAGCGGCGACAAAAAAAGTCGCCGCTGAAGGTCCACTTTCGGCGGCGACAAAAAAAGTCGCCGCTGAAGGTCCACTTTCGGCGGCGACAAAAAAAGTCGCCGCTGAAGGTCCACTTTCGGCGGCGACAAAAAAAGTCGCCGCTGAAGGTCCATTTTCGGAAATTTGTTTAGTAATATTGTAAAATAAAATATATATTATTATATTATACTTTTGGCGGCAACAAAAAAAGTCGCCGCTGAAAGTCCACTTTCGGCGGCGACAAAAAAAGTCGCCGCTGAAGGTCCATTTTCGGAAATTTGTTTAGTAATATTGTAAAATAAAATATATATTATTATATTATACTTTCGGCGGCGACAAAAAAGGTCGCCGCTGAAGGTCCACTTTCGGCGGCGACAAAAAAAAGTCGCCGCTGAAGGTCCATTTTCGGCAATTTGTTTATTAATATTATAAAATAAAATATATATTATTATATTATACTTTCAGCGGCGACAAAAAAAGTCGCCGCTGAAGGTCCACTTTCGGCGGCGACAAAAAAAGTCGCCGCTAAAAGTCCACTTTCAGCGGCGACATTTTGTCGCCGCTGAAAGTCTTGGTTTCAATGGCGAACTTTCAGCGGCGACTAGAAAAGTCGCCGCGGAAAGTCCACTTTCGGCGGCGACACTTTTGTCGCCGCTGAAAGTCTTGGTTTCAGTGGCGACTTTTTGGTGTCGCCGCCGAAAGTGGACTTTCAGCGGCGACTTTTTTTGTCGCCGCCGAAAGTCGTCGCCTAAAGTCTATTTTTTTGTAGTGGACATTCATAATGAAAATGACAATGCAAGAAAAGAAAATGCTATGCGCATTTCATGACCTTTTGAACTCTTGCTTGCTTGTTTTCTATGTGACGGCATCTACATTAATGAATATATATACCATCGAATGAGACTCTCTGGAAAATATTTTTTTTCTCTTAATATTCATATGAATTCGAAGTTAAGATAAGTAAAGTCTGTTAGCTGGTCATTAAAGTCTCGTTTTCCTTTGTGTATGTTGGTCGAATTAAGCAATCTTATGGTTATCGCGGCCAAGAAAATGAGAATGCAAGAAACAAAATTCCATGCATTAGATGACTTGTTGAACTTACTTCCTTGTTTTCCATGTAAAGGCATTTATATTAATGGCTTCCTCCGACCCACGGAGTTGACTCATATATCCATCGCTCACCCAATATTACTAGAAAAAGAAAACATATATACAAAAGAACCATATATATATATATTAATGGAATATATATATATATATTAATAGCGCCGAATCCAGTTGTTATCATATAGGCAGATGTGATAGCTCCGAAACAAATGAGTGATTAAGGGAAATGAAAGAGAAAAGTGAGGAAATGATGAAAAAGATGATAATTACGCCTGAAATGGATGAGGGAGGAGGAGGAATGTATATGAAGTGATTCAGAAGGCGACGGTCGCACGTGCGAGCCACGTGAAGCAAGAAGATTAGAATGCACGTCATTAATTCAGAGTAAGCAGCGCTAATGGCGGCGACTTAGCCGCAGCAACGCCTGCCCCGCCCTGCCCTCGCCACTCTAGCTAAAACTAAACTGCCTTCTGCTTCCGGCTTTTTAATATTTTTGTTTATCATTATATATTAGTTAATTAATCATAGGATTCTAATGGCATCCTCATCCAATGTTCCAAAGCAGCCTTCTGTCTTCTTCTGTTTGCCTCATCATGCAACAAACACACAAAATTTAACGTTAATCCATATATATGTGAGGTTCCTGATTCTAACCTCATGGACAAACAAAATTATTAAGGAATTGATATTTGATTAGATAAAATTTGGGAATTCTAATCTTGTGAGTAGGACAAGTATATGTGTAAAAATTCTTACCTGTTTTGTTTTCATGTTCATCTTCATAAAAAGTATTTATAATATTTGTT